GGATGGGTATACTTTCGAAAATGGCGACAACGTCACAACGGCTGTCGCACAGTGTATTTTGAATGAAAATCAACCCAGCATGAAACCCTAAAATATTTGGGAAACGTAAGCATTTACCTAGTGGAAAGGGCAAACCTGGCGGCCTACTCCGTATTGAGATTCGAAAAGCAAACCATTTAGATACGAATACTTGGCACTATGAATTTTTATTAGCCCTTGTTGCCTTTTGAATCGCAATATAGAGTAGACGGGGTGGTTATAAGTTCTTAAAACAATCCTGGGACAATATGCAGTAAAGGACAGCGACGCATAGCGCTTCCCTTCCATATAAAATGTGGTCGGAAAAAGAATTATGTACGAATTCAAAAGAAAATTTGTTTCTTAGTGAATTTGGAAACGCCAAATTCTAAAAAGCATATTTATTTTATAGCTTTCATACTTTAACTGCAAATGCAGCTTGAGGTTGAAAATTTACGTTTTTGTACATTTAGGTCGTTCGATTTGCAAAATAAAGGGCTTGGACTCTAGATAAGCAATACGATTTTATTTTTGCTTGAAAAGGATTGCCAACTGTTAAGAAATTAAACTAAAATATTTAATAAGCTAAATTAATTATTACTGTGCATGTGTGGCAACATCAAGGCGCACGCCACAAATCGCAGGAGAAGCTCGGCCAAACACTAACATATTGTACAAGCGCCAATTTATTATCATTATTATTGCATTTGAAGGTGCCAATCAATATATTTTTGAAAAGATTTTATTTCTAAACTAAACGTAGGAGCATTGCTACCTATTTAAAGAGCCAAATTCAACTTAAATTAGGGGAGTTAGATAAATGAGATATTTATCACAAGGTGGGTCAAACAAAGGTTTTAGCTTGAAAATACACATTTTAAAGAGAGTTGCCAGCTGTCTGTAAAGTCGAATTAAATTACTTTACACAAAAGTTCTGTATATGAAATATTAAAAATATGTATGTCAAGTGTTTAGTGTTTGAACCCCCTAAAATTTAATAATTTCTATTGTTCGGTGAGAATGACCCAAAACATTGCAGGAAGGGCTAAATTCGAAACATTGCAGACGTGTTAAAAAAACGACAGCTTATACATATATTTTCGAGTGTATTGGTACATAGACAATGGGCTGTCAAAAAACACGGCCGTAGGTTGCCACAACTCAGCAACGCAACAGGATATTTATTGGCATGGCAGACGGTGCAGCAACACGGCGCTGTCATAAAAAAAACCACTCATATATTACATACATATATGAAGCTATGCATTTACATCCATACACATTTAATTACTTGCGCGTGTGTTGTGTAAAAGGATACATACATATGTATGTATATAACTAGGCATCGCTGTCTGTGTAGCCTTTTCCGCTACATTTTCTGCAACCAAATGGCTTTGCAGTTGTGTGTGAAATTGAGTGTTGTGAAAATTTTTTTACTGAATTTACATACTATAGAAACGTACATATACATACAGTCAGTGTCAAAAATATGAATACCCTGACGTTTTGTCGATCATATTTTCCATCGCGAACATTTCTTATTTTTTATAAAAATATATTTCATTCAACAGCAAAAGAGCAGCAGATTTTTTTTTTTAATTTTCATACAAAAAAAAAATTTTGAAACTTTGAGTTTTTCAATTCGATTTCTTAATATAGTAAGGTGAAAGTTTCAAGTCTCTAAAAATTACCGTTGATTTTTGAGAATTTTTTTTTTTGTCAAGGGTTTTGCGCATTTTCTTCCGCATAAAAATAGATTTTGTTCATGCGTTATATGGGAGAAAATGCGCAACACCCTCGACAAAAAACGTCTGAAAAATCAAATGTAATTTAGACTGCATACTCAAAAATTTTGTGAGAGATCAAAATTGAAAAGTTGAAAATGTTTATGAAATTTGTTTGGTATTTCTTCAATTTTTCCTCGAGTTCTATATGAAATTTAAAAAATTTATTCTGTTGGTTTTTGCTGTTGAATGAACTATATTTTTGTAAAAAAAAATACGAAAAGCTTGTTATGGAAAACATAAATAAATAGAATCGTCAAAACGTCAGCGTATTCATATTTTTGATGCTGGCTGTAAGTATGTACATATGTGCCCATTAGGGCGTGGGTTGGTTATGCCACATAAACAATTTAAGAGCACTTAATACGGTGAATGGCGTTGATAGACGAATGCAAGTGAGCAAATGATGCTCGTTGAGGTTACACACGCGCATGTACACCCTACCCTTCGCTTACATCAAAAAGTTCATATTTATGTAGATAGATATGTGCAAAAAGACAAACAGTAATCTATATTTAGCTGAATTTGAGTGCTGGCAAAGGGACATTGACTTTTAAACCTTCACATAAAGTTCTACAAATTAATGTTAAACAACCGTAGCTATAATTAAATTGCAGGTAAATTACACTGGCTGGGTCTCAATACGAAACAAAAAAGTTTGCTATACATCCACCAGTTTTAAAGCTTAGCTTGAGAGAATTTGGGTGTCATTAAAAGTTTTCGTTATTTGTTAGCCAAAAGAAAAAAAACGCGGAAATCAAAATTTGTTTCATTATTTATTATTCCATTTCAAATTGTTAAACATATATACATACTTAGGTACATATGTCGTTGAAAACATACATATTTTTCAGTACTAAACATCTTTCTAAGGACTCGTCGTATAGCTCCCCAAATAGCTCCCTAGCCTACTAAGTTCTAATAATTAATTTTCTTACCCATTAAATATAACTTCATTCTACATAAAATAAAATATTTTAGAGCGCGATGCATTTTTCTTCCTTGGAACCGGAAAAATAAATTAACAAAGAACAAAGTTACAGCGACTTAAAATTTCTATTTCAACCGTACTAAATGTTGATGCTGATATATAACTCATACGCCATGGCATACCAGTATAACTAATAGGATGGCAGAAGAAGAGCCCTTGTTCGAAAGTTCTCTACACAACAATGTCAT